CTGAAGCTCTTTCCACAGTCCAGGCATTTGTAGGGTTTCTCTCCCGTGTGGGTCCTTTCATGGCAATTCAGGTAAGTTCTGCTGCTGAACGTCTTCTCGCACACAGAGCACTGGTACGGTTTCTCTCCTGTGTGAGTCCGTTGGTGCAAAGTGAGGTGCGAACTCTGACTGAAGCTCCTTCCACACTCAAAGCATTTGTACGGCTTCTCCCCAGTGTGGGTCCTCCGGTGGGTCGTAAGGTGTGTTCCCTGCCGAAACCACTTTCCACACTCAAGACACATGTACGGTTTTTCCCCCGTGTGAATTCTCTTGTGAGAAACCAGACCGACATTCGTGGTGAATGCCTTGGGACATTCCAAGCAGAGGTATGGCTTCTCTCCCGAGTGACTTTTTTTATGCCGACTTAGGAGCGCAGTGTGGCTAAAGCTCTTGCCGCACTCCGGGCATTTGTATCGTTTTTCCCCAGTGTGGATTCTCCCATGTGAAATAAGGGAAGTGTTCCTACCAAAACACTTTCCACACTCCAAGCATCGGTAGGGACTTTCTTCCGTGTGTAATCGCTGGTGTCGGGCTAGAGAGGGGCTCTGATTGAATTGCCTTCCGCACTCTGAGCATTTAAATAATTCCTCTTCTCCGTAAATTCTTTGATACGGCAAAAGATCACCCATCTGAAGAAAGTTCTTTCTGGGCGCCGAGCAATGATCTGATTTCTCACTGGGATGGATTTTTTGATGCGAAAGCAAGTTTGAGCTCTTTGTCCATCCTGAACGTTGATAGAGTTTCTCCCCTGTATAAATTCTCTGGTTCAATTCAAGTTTGAATTTGGAGATTAATGCCCTGCTACCTGAAAGACTTTTGTCCTTTTCTTCCTGTTTCTGGATTAAGTTTTGACAAGAGTCCTGTGGCCGGAAGGCAGGCAGATTCCTCCTAGTCTCTGCTTTTTGCCCTTCCTGTCCCCCTGATCCCTTGAGATCACCAGCAATCTCTTCCTGGTCTTCATCTTTGGCCATTCTGGAGGAGATACACCCCAGCTCCTGAGCAGGGGAATCTTCCAACACTGAACCTGCTTGGACAGAAACAAAGAGAAAAGACTAGATGACAAATGAAATGGAAAAGTGGAACAAATGTACACAATCAGTCATTCTTGTAAATTGTCAGGGGATTGCGAGTAGGGGTGATATGGTAACAGTATTCCAATATCTAAGGGCCTGCCCCAAAGAATAGGGGGTCAGCCCAGGGTCCGGCTTCAAAAATTTCAGCAATGGATTCTCTGCCCAGTTGCTGGGGTATGTGGCCATGGTGGGCATGGTCTAGTCGGCCTCCTGCACCATGGCGGGGGGCCGTTTTCACCTTCCCCAGGCTCCAGAGGCTTTCCTCAAGCCTCTGGGAAGGTAAAAACTGCCTCCCCGGGCTCTGGAGACTCTCCAGAGGCCAGTAACGGGCCCATTTCCAGCCTTCCAGAACTTCCGGGAGGCCCGTTTTCCCCCCTCCTGAGACTCCGTGCAGGCCCTGCACTTACCTTGCATCCAAAACGAGCCGTGTGGAGACTCCTGGGAGGGGAGGGGCAGGATGGGAGGGGCGGGGTAGGTGGGTCCAGTCAGGGGTGGGATTTGGAGGTGCTCCGAACCAGCCATAACTGGTTATAAGTAGATATTACCATCAGTTTCCCCCATGCTTTCTCTGTGCCAGATTGTCTCAAAGGACCTAGCAGAAGGTGGCAGAAGAAACATCTCCCACCTTGTCCTTATTAAAGACGGGTTCAGCGAAAGGAGGACCTGAAATGGTGGCAATGCTTCAGATCAACCTCCTTCCATGGGGTCCTTCATCTCCAAGAGGTCAAAACACCAAAAAGGAGGTATCTCCACACAAATACAATACAATAGCAGAGTTGGAAGGGACCTTGGAGGTCTTCTAGTCCAACCCCCTGCCTAGGCAGGAAACCCAATCACATTATGGGGGGGGGGGGGAAATTACAGTCCTTGACCTGAGGCCACCCTCCTCCTGAAGCCCCCTCCCCCCCCGGGGTGTCAGCTGCTCCCTTCGGACTTCTGCCTGCCTTCGCTGCCATCACCACCAGCACTCCCCTCTACTGCCCCCATCCCTCCTTGGCTACGACCCCCTGCTGCCCCCCCAATTCAAGGGGCGGCTCCTCTCTTGTGGCTCCTCGGGGTCCTTGGGCATCCCGGGCGCTCCCTTGCTGCCCTCTGGCTGCTCACCAGGTCGCCCGCAAGAGGGCCTTGGTGGGCAGGAAGCCGAGGATCCTCTCCACCACCTCGACGAGGCTGCTCAGCATGTAGCCGCCCTTGGGCTCGGGCTCCATGACAATCGCAGACAGCGCGAGCCCCCCCCCCGAAAAGTGCCAGCTGAAGGTTGGAAAGACATCCTGGAAAGATTTAACACTTTTCAAAATGCCTCCCTTGAGTCCACCAAGGCAATACAGATAGTCCTCAACTTACAACAGTTCGCTTAGTGACCATCCAAGGTTACAACGGCCCTGAAAAATGTGACAGGGCCGTTTTTCACAGTTATGACCTTTGCAGCCTCCCCACAATCATGTGATCAAAATCCAGGCGCTTGGCAACTCTCCATACTTATGACCATTGCTGTGTCCCAAGGTTATGTGATCCCCTCTGGCGATCTTCCCACCAGCAAAATCAATAGGGAAGCCAGGTTCACTTAACAGCCGGGTTACTAACTTATCAACTCCAGTGGTTCCCTTAACAACTTCGACAAGAGAGGTCGTAAAATGCGGGCAAAATGTACTTCACAAAGGTCACAAGAGAAATGTCGGGTTCGATTGTGGACGTAAATCGAGGACTACTTGGGCAAAGAAAAGACACAGGAATCGAGACCAGATTAAAGGAGACTCACTGAGCGAGGCCACGATCCTGTATGTCTCCAGCATGACTTCCCTGTACAAGGTCCTTTGGCCCCGATCCAGCAGAGCCCATTCCTCCTCTGAGAAATACACCACCAACTCTTTGAAGAATACAACAGCCTGAAAAAGAAAACCCAAGTCACAATCTGGAAGGAAGTGCAGGTGGAACACATGGCACCTTCTCCAGAAGAACTTCGGTAAGCTGCTGAAACAAAAACAAGAAGCCGGAAGTAAGCATCATGCTTAGCTTTGGGATTCAAATAATGTAACAACCGGTTCTCTGCTCTAATGACCAACTGGGTAGGCGTGGCTCGGTGGTCATGTGACCATGTGAGCAAGGCAAACTCAACGTCCCTCACGTCGATGGGTGCTTCGCCTTAACTGTTACAATGTAATAAGGGTTAACCAGAGAGGCAGTTTCTGTAAGCAGGGCAATAAAGATAAGGATAGAAACAAAACCAGAATGTTTCCTTCCTGCCTTCCCTACAGGATTAATCCTGTAAAGTAGGAATAAACAAAATGAGATTTCTTCCAACAACCAGTTCTCCAAACTGCTTAGAAAGTTAACAATCAGCTCTCCCGAATACGTGCAAACTGGCTGAATCCCACCACTGGTCATGCTGGAGGATTAAGACCAGGGAAACCAGTTCCCATCCATCACCAGCCAGAAAAGGTCCAGAGAGACTTTGGGCCTGATTCTCTTTCTCAGGCCCACCTCAAAGAGAGTTCCTAACAGTGAGAACAATTAGCCCGTGGAATGACTTGTTTCCAGAAGCAAACTCCTTGTCCCAACCAACCCCCCCACCCTTGATTAATTTCCTGTGAATTCTGCTCATTCACATCCAGCAAAGTTTTTCAAGGGAGGATTTACAGTCACAGACCTTATCTGGCTTGGAGAGCTGATATCTGCAAAACTTGCCAAGGAGTCTCGGAGAGTCACGAGCCAATTAAGCAAACTAATTGTCTCCTGCAAACTCCACTCCCCTTTT